CACTGCCTCCTTCGAGCCACAGGAGCTGCTCTGTTCCCCCTCCCCCGAGGAAATGCCCGTGTTTGGATGGAGGGGGTTGGCTTCCAGCCGGGGGCAGAGGGTATCAATCTTTGGGCTTTTCTAGCTGTTCCCTTTTCCCAGCAGCTTTGCTAAGGCGAAGAGCCTGAGATTGGGGTGCAGCTTCCCCCTGTCCCGTGCCATCCTCGGGGTTCAGTTCAGCCGGGGTTTCTCTGGCTGGCAAACCTGCTGGTGTCCTGCCAGCTGGGCACGGAGCAGGGTGAAGTGTGCCCGGCGCTGCCCCCAGCCTCTCCCCTCCCTCGGGCTGCCCACGCTGGCTCCTCTGTTGTGGAAACCTTGTTTTGGAGCAGCAGGGTGACACACGAATGCAAACACTGGGGGAAGAGCTAAAGGAGGAAGGCTGGAGGCTTCTCCGTGCGTTTCCAAGTGCAAGTTTTCCTGCGGTGTCCGGGCTCGGCGCGGAGCAGTGACTCACGCTGGGATGCTGCAGACCGAATCCCTGGGTGCTCATTCCTATCGCTTTCACCACACGTTTCACTAGCTGCCCTAAGTGCATCGCTGCGGGAGCACAGCCTCCTGCCCCGAGCCCACACTCAGCGTGCAGGGGCTGCTCTTAGCAAACTCCAGCCCTGTGTAAACACCAGCAGGTATTAGGGACTGAGTCATGCTATTAATGGGGTTGTTACGTGCGTGACTGGACAGATTCCTTGCTGAGGATGGGATTTGGTCCCTCCACCCTGCCTCGCTTGGCTCAGCTGGAGGGGTTGGCATCCCGTGGATGTGCTGTTTGGGTTCTTGGCTTTTGGGGAAGAGGGTCTTGAGCATCTCCCAGCTGAGGAGTGCTCCCCCTTTCCCAGTGGCCTTGCAGGGGCTTCAGGCTCCCTGCATGGATGTGGTGGGAGAGTCAGCTCTGGGCTGTGAGGAGCCAAATCTCTTCATGCTTCAGCTGGGGCAGGGACAGGCTGAGGTGGCAGCTGGCTGTGTGCTGGCAGCATCCAGGGGGAGTGTCTGGGGTGGCTCCCTGCCAGCAGCAGCCTTCCAGTGCTGAAAGGGAGCCTATGAAAGAGATGGTGACCAAATTTTTAGCAGGGCCTGTTGTGACAGGGCAAGGGGTGATGGTTTTAAACTGAAAGTGGGTTTGGTTTGGGTATATGGAAGTTTTTTGACAATGAAGGTGGTGAGACACTGGCACAGGTTGCCCAGAGAAGCTGTGGCTGCTCCATCCCTGGGAGTGTTCCAGGCCAGGTTGGATGAGGCTTGGAGCAACCTGGGCTGGTGGAAGGTGTCCCTGCCCATGTCAAGGGGGTTGGAACATGATGAACTTTACAGGTCCCTTCCAACCCAAAATATTCCCTATTCTGTGATCCTTCTGCTCCCTAAAACTTTTCCTATAAATTCTGGCAGAGTCCCCTTGGTATTTAACCAATGCTTTCTACACCTGCATGGATTTGAGGCTGAGAAAACTTCACCCCATGTTTGTGCTGAGGTGTGTCAGGGCCTGGAGGGTTGTCTCATCCCTGGGCTGAGCCCTGCAGTGTCCCCACTCCCTGGGGACCATGGCCTGTGCTGGTTTGTGCCACAGGGGCTGCTCCCCAGCAGCTTGGGAGACAGAAATCCCATTGGGAACCTTCAGGCACTGTGTGAGCAAAGACAATGTGTGCAGGATGGAGAGGAGTAAGGGTGTGATGCCAGGGTGGCATGGGGACAGCCCAGGGCTCCCAGTGGCATCCCAGGCGATGGTGGCATCCAGCCCTCCTTCCTGGCTGGTTTTGCCTTGGCCACCAGATCCTGCACAGGGTCAGCAATTAGGGCAGCAATTAGCACTGAGGGAGAACTGCTGCACAGCAGTGGTGAGTCCAGTGATGAGCACTGAGCTCACCAGGTGCTCCCGAAATCAGTTTGTCCCTGGAGTGAGGGCAGAGGCTTCACTCGTGTGTCCCAGCGTTTCAGAGGAGTCAGGAAAGGCACAGGCTGAAGTGAGGAGGCACTGGGAGTGTTTCCCAGTGCCTGTGGCTCCTGCACAGCTCTCTGGGTGCCCTCAGGCTCGATGCCATCAGCCTCACACAGGAGAAGTCAAACCCTCACTGCAGCATGACTTGGTGCAGGTTGGTGATTTCCTGCCGAGCTGAAGTGAGTTAATAACAAATCCTTCGGGACCTCCTCCTCCCCCTCCTCCTCCTCCTCCCCAGAGCTGTGGTGCTTCTGGCAGGACCCAGGATTGACTTTTCTGGGTGGCTGACGAAAGCGACTTTCCTTGCCCTGCCTGGGGCAGCTTCCTGCTTTCAGAGCTGGTAATTTCACAGCAGCAGAGTGTCCCTTGCGTCAGCTCTGCTGCGGTCCAGGGCTGGTGGAAAACTGCCCTCCCACCGTGACGCAGCTCCTGCCACCACCAGCTTCGTGCTGGGCAGTGTTTTGCCAGCTCTGGCACGGCAGCACACGGAGGTGGTCGTGCGTGGGGTGCTGTGTGGTGTGGCTGCATCCAGGATTGGAGAGCTGTGTTCTCCCAGGGGTTTTTCCCCACCAGCTCTGTCCCTGCTGTTGGGGTATGGCTTCTCCTCTTCCTCCTTGCTTGCCAGCTGAGGCAATGCAGGTGGCTGTTCCCAGGATGCTCGTGTCCCTTCGCTGTCCTGTGCAGCTCCAGGGTCTCATGCAGGAGGGACACAGTGGCTGTCACACGTCCAGGGGCATGAGTGTGTGGGCAGATGGGGCAGGGAAGGACGGTAGGGGTAGGAGCTGTCGTGGGGTAGCCCTGCAGCCATGTGCTGCTGGCTGGCTTAGTCACAGCAGGTTCACTGCAGCCTGTCTGAGCCCCTCTCCCTCCGGGGGCAACTTGAGGAGCTGCAGGCTGAGTGCTCTTGCCTCCCTGCCAGCAGGACTGGCACTGCCTGGCATAGCCATTGGCACAGACAGGCAAAACCCTGTGCCGCAGGAGATGCTGTGCCACCACAGCCAGCACGGCAAGAGCCTTTCCACACCAAGCTACTCCCACACCCTGAGCAGCCTCCGTGCCTGGACCAGTGACTGTTCCCTGCAGGGGTGTGTGCAGGCACAGAGATGTGGGTTTGTGTCTTCCTTAAATGCAGCAAGTGTAAGGGAATAGGACTGGGCAGCTCTGGTTAGAGCATGGGTCAGTCTGCCCTGCTATTCTGCCTCTTGCTCATGGCAGAGTTTTCAGCTTTGGCCCCAGCCAGCTCTGACTTTTCCTTCTGCATCTGAGGGCAGGATTGGTTTTGTGATATGCATTGATCTGCACTTATTTACGCTCTGGATATCATCTGTAGTTTTGCACCTCTAGACTGTCTTCCAGAAAGTTAGCTTAGGTCTGGAAGTCTCTCCCTGCCCCTCTGCCATTGCTGATGGCTACAGGGAATCATTCTGGCTGTTCCAAAGTGGGAGATCTCCAATCTCACTGTTATTGGTCACTTCCTGATCTTGCAAAGATTGATTTTACACTGTTCTTTTTAGAAAGAAGATGATGTGAATGGGCTGTAAGAAGCAGACAAGATGGATGGAGAGCTGCCCTCCACTGAGGTGGATGGAGAAGTGTCTTCTGCAGTGGTTGATCTGGGACAGGAGATACCCTGTGTGGACAGCAGTACTGAAGGAGATGTGTCCTGTGCCCAGAGGGATGCAGAAGGAGAGATGCCCAGAGCTGAGACCAGCACAAAAGAAGAGGCACCTTGTGCTGAGGGCAGTGTTGATGGAGAGCTGCCTGACCTGCAGAGCCATGGGGCAGGAGAGATACCTGGCCCTGTGAGCCATGGGGCAGGAGAGATTCCTGACCCTGATAAAGATGTGAAAGGAGAGCTGCCTGGAACTGAGGGCCATGGGGCAGGAGAGCTGCCTGGTGCTGACAGTGATGTGGAAGAAGAGACATCCGGCACTGGTAGCGATGGGGAAATACCCTGTGCTGCAAGTGATGCAAAAGAGGAGGCATCTTGCTCTGAAAGTGATGGGGAAGAAGTACTTGATCCTGATATGGAAACCCCTGCTGATTCCAAGAAAATAACCTCTATTTCTTCGTCCTTACGGGCAATCATCCGCCTGCGCCGGCGCTACTGGGGGCAGAAGAAGAGCCGTTTGCACTTAGAGCTCCCTCGGGAGAAGTCTACAGAGCTTGTCCACACGAGGCTGCTCCAAAGGCAGCTCTCCCTGAAACGAATTGGCCTGTATGGCCCTTCCATGAGCTTAATTAACCAGGCTAACTTTGAAAGCTCCCAGTACTTCACCTTCGACACGTCTGTCGAGCAATACGCCATGAAGAAGAGCAGGCGGAAAACGAAGCGAAGGAAATCTAGGATGGTCCTGTATCCAGACAAAACAAAAAGATACCTTCCAACAGAGGAGAAGAGCAAGGCAAAACGCTTCCTCCTCTTACTCATTGGCATTATCTTCTTCCAGATTCTCAATGCGATAGAGAACCTGGATGATAACCTCCAAAAGTATGACCTAGATGCTTTGGAGAAAACAATGCATCGGGAAGTATTTGGGCAGAAGGTTGCTGTGGAAGGCATTATGGAATTACTGAAAGATTATCTGGCCACCCACATCCACAACAAGCCTCTAGTGATCTCTTTAAATGGCCCAACAGGAGTTGGGAAGAGTCATGTTGGCTGGCTGCTGGCCAAACATTTCCGTTCCGTCATGGACAATGACTTTGTGCTTCAGTACTTCGTCATGCATCACTGCCCCAACGGGGTGGCTCCTCTTACTTGTGAGCTAGATCTGTCTAAGAAGATCTCTGACATGGTTACAAGAGCAGAAATAGAGGAGAAGACACCATTGTTTATTGTGGATGAGGTTGAACTCATGTCTCCAGTCCTGCTGGATACTCTCAGCCGGTTCTTTGAGCCCAATCAAACCAATGAGTTCCTCAATGCAATCTACATTCTAATAAGCAACATAGGAGGTGGTGAGATAACAAAGTTTGTTATCCAGAATGCATCCACTGAGCTTCTGCAGCAGCCACGAGGAGCTGAAGAGCTGCTGAGTGTGGTCCAGCCGGTCCTGATCGACACCCACCCTCTCTGGAAGTCTGCAGACATCATCCCATTTGTTCTTTTGGAGAAAACTCACGTCATAAACTGCTTCCTGGAACAGATGAGGAGGGAAGGGCTGTATCCTGATCAGAAGCACATTGAAAATTTAGCCAGTCAGCTCAGTTACTACACTACAGGGGACAAGCAGTACTCCAGGATGGGCTGCAAGCAGGTTGTGGCCAAAGTCAACCTCCTGTAGGGATTTACTGCAGGGACCAAGCCATGCTCTCAGGATTTGCAAAATTCTGGGCCTATGGAGGAGTAAGTTACAGCAGGCTGTGGTCAAGGTGTCCTTTCTCAGCCCTGCACTGACTGCCTGGTCGAGGCAGAGGGAAGGCAGCCTGGACAACATGGTCTCTGTTCTCCTCCAGGTGCTTTGCTTGTTCCTGATGTTCTGTGAATGGGCAAGAAAGCCCAAGCCACCTCATTGGTGTTCCTCACCTTCTCATTAGGGATACTTGTCCTTAATGAGTTGTGAGATGGTATCAGAAGCTGCAGGATATAAACAGGAGGATGAAATAATTGCTGGGTCACTGCCCCTGCAGAACATGTTGCCTCACGTCTCACTCCCTCCAGGCTCACAGTCACCAGCTCTTTGCTGTTCTTGGTCCTGACTGGTGTGTGCAGAGCAGATGCAGGGCTGGGAGAAAGGACACAGCTTGTGGCTCCTGCTCCCCCAAAAGCACAGTCAGCCAGAGCTCTGCTTTCCCCAGCTCCTACGTGACCTCATCCTCCAGAGAACACTTTTTGGACCTGTTCCTGGGCTGTTGCTCTTCTGAGCTCATACCTGAGCTCACCTTTGGCACCTGCAGTGAGATTTCAGTCCTGCAGCTCTGTTTGGGCTCGCCTTGAAGACTGCTCAGCTGCTCCAGCTGGTGCAGAAATAACTGCTGGATTGTTTCAGGTCTGGTGGTGACAACTTGTCCCGAGAGCTCTTCTGCTTTTTGCTTCTGGGTGCACGTCACCACGCTTGTTTTCTAGAAAGCCCAAATTAGCAACTGACATAGATTAAGCAACACACACTGGAAAAGATGGTTTGGGCTGCCTGGGTTGATGCAGTGGGAATCCTGGGCTTGTGCCCAGTCCTCAAGGCCAAGAAGAGTGTCTTTGCCACGGAGACCCAGGGGAGAATATGTGGCCTGGGAGCACCTCAGCAAGAGCACACAGATGTGTTTTGAGCAGGTATTTATTACATTGCTTTTTCAGGTTTTGGTTTTGTGCAAGATTTCTACAATTTGCTGTGAATGACCACATAGGTAACCCTGTTGGGGGTTTGCACTCGGGGCTTTGATTTGCCTCTTTCTGGTCTCCAGAGACTTCCATCACAAACTCCTGCTTCCAGAGCTATTGTCAGGAATAATTCCAGACTGTCCTGAATAAAGTAATTCAAAGTACATGTCCTTTAGTTGACTGAAATGTGGTTTTCCTCCCAAACTCCCCTGGCACTGCCATACCTGTGCTTCCTGGTGACTCAGACTGGGAGCAATGGCTATAGGTTTTCTGTGTGTGCTTTGCAGATCACCTCGATGCAGTGTGTGTGCAGCTCCTTGAGCTGTGCTCCTGGTAAACCCCATCCCAATCCCACACAGTACAGCAGTGCCAAAAGCTGGTGCTGCACAGCTCCTCCATCTAAGCCACCTCCTAAATGCAACTGTCCTCCAAAACCAACATGTGTGAGCTGCTTTCCATATTAGAGAGACTTTACTCCCGGGACAGCTAAGATGCTTTTAGCCTGGATAAGAAAGAGCTCAGGAAACAGGTTTCCCCTCCTCTTCCAGCTAGGGGAGGGACAGATGTTAGTTCTGTTTCAGAACTAGGTCTCTTGTTTCTAAATACCGACCCACAAGGTGTTGACTTGGTTGTGCCAGAGGTCCCTGGGTGTCTCCCTGTGTGACAGGGGAGGGTGACTGAGTGCAGCTGAGCACCTGCAGAGCTTGTTTCCATCCCTCTAAGACTCACCTGCCCTGAACCAGGGGTCCCAGCCCTTCCCTGAGCAAACTGGCAGAGTCTTGCTGATGCACCACCCCGTGGTTTCATACCTCCCAGGAGCTGCATGCTGGATGGTTCTGGGCTCACTGTGAGCAGCTCAGCACCCTTGAGCACAGCAGCACGGGGCCCCTCATACCTCTGCTCAGGGAGATCAGCAACATGCTGTGCTGTCTTGCCTCCACATATACCAAGGATTTGCCCTTACACACGGGGCAAGGAAAAGCTGCTGCCAATCCCTACAAGGGTATGTGCTTTGTTGCTTTCTTTCCAACTCCTGTGGTCATCACTAAACAGATGAGCTACCACTAGGAAAACAAATTTTGACCCCAGTGATGGCAGGGGAAGATCATGGGCTGCAGTAGAGGAGAATAAAGGACAGCACAGGTGAGTTAGGGTTTCCCAATAGCTGTGGATGGTGCAATTCCTCTGAGGGGGCAGAGGGAATGTCTGCAGTGGCTTTTGGGACCATACAGTGATGGGGTGAGGCTGTGAAAGGTGGAGGGAGGACAAGCACCCCCTCTGCTTGGGGAGCAGGAGGCAGCACAGGCAACTACAGGAGTGAATGCATTACCTGGGAGCATCTAGAAGAGATGGGAGAAATAACATCTGACATTTTTCAAGGTAAGTTGTGACCATAGAATCCATTTTCCTCCTCTGACAGGATATTTGGAGAATAGCTGTCAATATTTACTGGGATGAACTGAAGTTTTCCAGAACTGAGGAAATGAAATATTCCCTAAATGGTGGAGAGGACAGAGATGGGAGTTTGCCCATAGAGTCTGGAGGGGAAGGGGAGCTGAGGGGCACACGAGCATTGCAGGAGACAGACTTGGGATGAAAAGCATAAACTGGAGGAAAGGTCTGAAAGAAGGTTCTGCAGTTGAGGGTGGGAGTGAGCACATGCACGTTCCAGGCTGGGGAGGGTGAAGGAAAACAAGCCTGGGGGATCAGAGTGCTCACACTGAGGAATAATACCCCCAGGGGGTTGAGAAAGGCAAAAGTGCCATTAAAATGTATAAATAGGTGTGTTGCATATGCAAGGGATGAAGTAATGCAGGGCCACGTGTGGTGCCTCACTGGAGCAGTGTGGCCATATTTGGGCACTCCTGGGCAGGGAGACCTTGCAGAGCTCCTCGCCAGCATCCTGCGGGAGGGGAGCGATGGAGCCCGGGGAGAAGTTTCAGGTGAAGCAAGATAAGAGGTTTCAAATATGCAAAAGACTGGCAGGAAGGAGACAGTGGTGCTTGGTTCTTCCAGGCTTCCTTGGGCAGGATGTGGAGTTGGCTCCAGAGGGTCAGATTTATGTAAAACGTTTGGAAAATTGTCGTGGCTGCAGGTGTGAAACAGCAAAATGGATTGATTAGAGCCACTGCAGAATTGCTGGCACTGAACCTGGGGGCAGAGGAGGTTTAGCCAAGGACACAGCATTCTGGCTCAGTGTCCCATGAGGTCCCACTTTGCCTGTCCTCTGTCACCCCTCCTGCCTGGCAAGGGTTCAGCTGGAAGTCTCTTCTGCCCAGCACACAGCTGGTCTCACTTGCAGTCCTTAGTCTTCACAGATTACACCAATTTAACATCACTTCTCTATCAGGCATTTGCTTCAGTTCCTAAAATACCTGGATCTAGCTGCAAAGTTTCAGGCAGTTACGTCTGAAAACTGTCAGCCTGAGGAAAGTCACTGCCCACATGGATTGATTTCCCAGGTGGGATGGGTTAGAAGGACAAGGGAATCAGCCAGCACTGAAACTAGAGTATGCAGAAGACTTAATCATACAATAAACTACTCTGGAAGCTCATTTACTTCTCCTTGACACTATCCCCTTATCAATTCACTTTATTCATATATATTAGGTATTTTAGAGTCTATAGAGCAACCTCAAAGGACTTGTAGCCATCCCCAGGAAGCACCTGCAGAAGGGACAGCCTTTGCCAGCACGATTGGATATTCTCCAGTGACAGATGTGGAGGTGATCAGTGGCTCCCTGTGTCACAGGGCAGGAGCAGAGCTCTGCAATGTGGGACTTGGCATTGGCTCCTGCTCCTCCTCCAGCTGTGGAGTTCACAACACAGAGCCACTCGTGGTTCCTTCTGTGGATGCTAATTTGAGTTTCCTGACACTGAACTTCCTGTCTTACCAACTGATCCCTCAGGCTGGGATGCAGCTGCCCTAATTTTGGTATCTTGAGGAAGTCTGACTAAGTGTGCCTGGGATTTCCCCATCCCTGCCTCCTGAAAAAAAGCCTGCCTGGGAACTCAGGCCTGGGAAAAGTCCTGGAAAACCTTCCTGGAGCCACAGCTCATGCTATAGGCTCCCTGGGTTGGGTTGGACCCCTGATCCATGTGGTGCCCTTGCAGCCCATTGCAGCTCTGTGCTGGGATGTGAGAGCACACTGCTGCATCCCAGCCAGGCTACCCTGCTGTGTGACCCAGCCATCCCCACCAGCACTTTCCATCCAGAGCAGAGGGAGCTCCTGCAGGAATTCCTGCAGGACATACTCATACCAGCAGCAGCTGTGGGCCAGCCCAGATTGCTTTGTGATGGCAGCTGGGGATGGCCCTGCTGCCCTGAGCAGCAGATTAACACTGTGATTCACATCAAAGGGCATCTTTGTGGGTGCATTTGCGCCTTCACTTGGCTCTCACTGCTCATGGTGCCTCGTCCCTGTTGGGCCTTTACCCTGGGATTGTGCCTGGAGGGAGCACCGTGCTCTTCCCAGCTCCCAACCTCTCCAGCCTGGAGCACCTCACCAGATCCCCATGGTTTCTGTTAGCTTGTGGCATCAGCTCCAGCTTCCCCAGAGGGATGGTCCTGAGGAGCTCATCCTTCAAAAGATCCTGGCACCTGACCCCTGTGAGGCGAATGTACATTTTTGTGGCCAGTAAGTGATATGTGAAAGTAAAGCAATAATTGCAGCCAAACCCTTTGTGTTCACTTGTACCTTTGCCTCCTCCTGCTTCTATAACGTGCTGCACAATCCAAACCCTCTCACTCACACCAGCCCCATGTGGCATCTTGCCTGTTCTTCCAAGCGAAAGAAAAGTAATTCAAAATATTGGAGAAAGATATTCCCAGAATATCTTTAAATATCTTTAAACTCTCTGAGCCACCCAACCTGAGATGTGTGGAGGTACTAAAGGAGTTGCAGATATGACTGTCTGAAATCAGAGAATCTGGTGCCACATTCCCACCCAGCCCTTTCCATCCATTTC